CTTCTTCCTTGCCGTTTATGAATAATTCTGGTCTATTTACAGATAGCTCTTTTAGTCCCTTTCAGCTTTTGTTTTGACAGACCAGCCAGGCCATCTTGTGTGACAGGCTGTCCCCTTCAGCATCCTCTGAGCCTTTGCTCACAGGCTGGGGGATTGCTGCTGGGTGTTGCTTGTTTTCCTTCTTTCCCTTCCTTACAGTGGACATCCTTCCAGGACTGGGCTGGGAAGAGGGGGGTTACTGTCCCTGAGGCAGGGCAGTCTGTGTGCTGACTTGAGGGGTCTCTGGTTGCTGGCAGGAATCCTGTGGCTGTCGCTGGGGTCGGAGATGCTGTACATCAGCCTGCTGCTCATCAGCTTCATCCTCCTGGTGGTAGAAATGCTACAAACTGGTAATCCTGTTTGCGGGATGAAGCTCAATGCCTTTGCTGCTGTCTCCTCAGTGCTGTCAGGTGAGTGCATCGCTGCACATCCCAACGATGTCTCTGTATGGTGCCAAGAATATGGGGCCATACAGACAGGAAGAAACACTGAAACACTCTCAAATTCACCTGCCTGTTTATTGGGAATCAGGGGAAAATTGGCAGTAAAGAGTATATGGCTAAAAAGAGCATGAGCAGGGGCTGGAAGGAGACACGATGGTTCAGGAAGGATCTTGGAGAGGTGCTGTCCCAGCTGCAGCAATGGGTGAGACTTCTCCTCATGCAAGGCAGAAGTGTGTGACTCTGTCCCCTGCCATGACTCTTCCTTGCTTTCTTGTCTTGTGTCAGGTCTTCTTGGGATGGTGGCACACATGATGTACACTCAAGTTTTCCAAGCAACAGTCAATCTTGGACCAGAGGACTGGAGACCACACTCATGGGACTACGGCTGGGCTTTCTAGTATGTGTGCTCTGAAATCCTCTTCATCACTCCAGGCTTTTGGGCTTCAAACACACTACACCCTCCCAAAGCCCTCTTTTTCCCTTCTAGACTTTCTTTGCTTCTGAAGACAGATGTACTCTGGTTTTCTTTGTGCTAGATCTTCTGTGTTTGCTTCATTCCCTGCTTTAATGAATAGCTGCTGAGTTAAGTACTTAAATGAGTAGCTGTCAAGGACTGGTAAAATAAAGCATCTAATCAGGTGTTATCTACCCTGCTGACTAACCTGGTTTGCCCCTATGCTGGTTAGCCCTGTTCAGTTTCTGCTCTTCACTCTGTGCAGAAACCAGTGATAAAACTCTCAAACATGCCTTGCTTTTCTGCAGTTAAGCTAAAATTGCATGTTGGTTTGGCATCATCACTGAGCAGAGTCCAAAGGGGCTATTTTTGAAGCATCAAGACCAGACACAGGCTTCAAGACGTGCACACTGTAGCAGGGAGGACAGCTGCAAAAGGCAGACTACTCAGGATTTCCTTCTCTAAAGGCAAGAGAAGCCAACCTGCATCTGCTAATTCATAACTGACTTGAAAAACAGTTGGATGAAGCTTGCATGTGCCCATAGAAGATACAGGCTAAGTTTGCAGTGCTATACTGGTCATGACCATATTGATCCTTACGGCTTAAACACTCCCATGTGATGTCTCACTGTGGATATCAGGCATCAGGGATGGCCATTTGGTTATGCTTAAGTAGACATGCCTCATGTCCAGGAAGATGCCAAGCAGCCCTGCATTACAAAACTGCTTCCAAGCTGTGTTGTCCTACTCTGAGCAGTGCCTGACTTTCCAACTGCCGTTTTTCTTTTCCCTATTCTCTGCCTTTCCTGTGATGAGGATGACCAGTACTTATCCCATCGCTCTAAGGAGGAGCTGGTGGTGGGACAATGCCTGGGAGCTGTAACTGTGTGAGTCACAGACCTCTGGTCTTTCTAGCTCATGTCCATCCCCAGGTCAGTAGATCCTGCCTGGCACCTCAGGGCATGTTACAGTGCATGTGGTTTCACCTCAGGGCATGTTACAGTGCATGTGGTTTGATTCTTAACCCTATCTGGGTGTTCATGTCGTGCTTTTCTTGTGTCTCTCCTGTAGCATGGCCTGGGTCTCCTTCACCTGCTGCATGGCCTCTGCTGTCACTATCCTCAATACCTATACCAAGACAGTGCTGGAGTTCAAGCGGATCCACATCAAGGGCTACAGTGAGAGTTTCAAGGATCAGACCCTGTACCACCAGTGCTACATACAGCAGCAGATAGGCAGCTACTACCAGCAACGAGACAAGCCTCTCCATTCAGTCTCCGAGGGAGTCGAATTCTACTCTGAGCTGCAGCAAAAAGTGCTACAGCAGGAACCAGAGCTGGAGCTGGACGAGGCCTTGGGACAGACAGATGGGGAGGATCAATTTTAGGGAAGTGTGCAGGGGGAGAGCAGTTGGGTTTGGGAGGCACAATGGTAGCAGAGCTCTAAACTGAACACCAGCACTTTCTTGAGGAGCCCTTTTCTCCTCTGGTGTTTCTAGGGGAGAGAAGGTGGGCACTGGTCTCAGGCAGCAGCAGTACCAATAGTACTGGGGGGGTCCATCCTGCTCATGGTTTGAGGGTCTCCTCAGCTGTGAAGGATGAAAGTGGGAGGTAGGGAGCTCAGAATTGGATGGGGCTTTTTGTTGGTACCCACTGTCTCCAAACACTGGCAGACAGGAGCTGAGGGAGATGTCTCAATCCTAACAGTACTGCAATGCAGGAACAGGTATATTCAGTGCACTCCGGCTGGCAAGTTGCAGTGCTGGGTCTCTTGGGATGGTGTCCCAACAGTCCCCTCAGATCTGCTCTGAAATTTAGGGTGTGGATGCCCACATCGATTTGCTGTATTCCTATGACAGCACCCTGTTTTATTCATTTCCAGACCCACCATTCTGTTCCCCCCACAGCTTAAAAGGACTGCTGGAGTAGGGATGAGAGGTTGCTTTCACACATCTGTCTCCTCCTCTCTCCTATTTAAAATAACTCCCACATGTTCCCTTCTTGTGTCCTCTCCCTCCTCTCTACCCTCTCCCCCCATTTTGTAGGAACCTTCCTACCTGTCTTCTTCTACTGTGGTTCCTCACAACCTTTAAGAATCTTTGGCTAGGTTTTTGCTTCTTTTCACCCCACCCATTTCACCCACTGTAAAAAATCTCAGCAAACCGAGAGCCTTTCAAAGGTGAAACAGGGGTTCAAATGACACACCGACACTGTACACAGCATTTATTTGCTCCACGGCAGTTCACAGTTCAAGTAAGTTTCCCCAACAATATACAGACAGACTCTTAATTCACAGTGGGGATGTGGGGGCAGAATTCACATTATGGGTGAGCTAAAGTCACTGCACTTGATTATCAGTTCTCTCTAGGAAAAAGAAATAACACAGGAGAATAACAACTTCAGGTAATGGATATCTCACCTTTCCCAGCAAGGTGGTGGCTAAGACAGGAGTGAAGAGGCACCCCTGCCTACTCCTCCTATGCTACTGGTCCTCATGCTTTCAGTCTGCATTGTACAGCTATATTAATTGACCATGTATTATAAACACTACCCCCTGTCTGGAAGAAAATCGTGGGCTGAGAGCTGCTGCTACAGTTGTGCTAATATATACATAGCTATTTACATAAAAATACCATTAAACATATACAAACTGTTAACAGGCTCTGGCTTTAGGAGGGCCCAAGGGCCAGCCTCGGGGCTTGCAGCTAATCGTAAGAGGCATCCTGGAAGCATCATACAGAGAGGCAGGGAGGGGGAAGCGAGTGTGATGCTGCAAGGAAAGGTGCAAAAGCAAAGTCGGGAAGTGCACAGGAGGACAGGAGGGCAGTTTGCTCACCTTGGTCTGGCTCTACCTAATGTCAAAGGTCAGGCCTAGAAAGACATACTATGACAGCACTTCCTAGTGTTACCACCCTGTGGTACGGGGAGCTACTGGGACACCAGAGTGGCTGGTTTATGCGCGGCCATGTCTACTGCAAGAAACTTAATGTAGGTGCACACAGAAGGGAGGGCACACAGGTCAAAGCACTAAACCTATCAAGAGCAAATGTGTCCTGGCCGTAGTCAGTTCCTGCTGGAACTGCACTGTGAGCCAGGCTGGTGGAGGAACGATAAAAGTTTAGCCCCCTGTAGTGCATGTTTCTATTCCACGGCTGGGCTGTGCGGTGTTAGTTCCCACTGTTACAGCAGGGAATCCTTCAGGCTGGTAAAACTGTGGGGTCAAAGTGCACAGGAAAGTTTTCCAGTTCCACCTCTTTGTTTGAGCCGACATACCCTGAAGCAGTGGTGTGAGAAGGAGCCTTTCTGTGCCCATATCTGGTGTGATCATCTTCTCAGTGGCTGGGATCCGCTGGGAAGCTACCATGAAAGGGCTGAAGTGCATTGCAAAGGGGGACTCAGCCCACAGGGCTGCAATGGGAGAGAGGCAGTGTGATGTTACAGTGACACTTGGGGCTCATAAAATACTTAGGAATGGAAGAAGAAGAGGTAGAAATGAGATGTGAATCTTTCGCTTCTATACCACCCACATGAACCTGTCTTGAACTTGGGATGGGGAAGAGAAATACACAAGTGCAAAGTCTGGGAAATGGTGTGGGACCTTCTCGATCCAGATAGATAATTCAGCCAGAAAGACAGTTTGTGAATTGGGGAACAAAATGGAAAAGAGGGATGAGCTCAGAAAATGGCTGTGGACAAGATTAGCCCTACAGGAGCCAGGCAGAGGCTTCCCTCAAATAATATAAATATTAACTGGTATCCTTTAGCCACACCATCTGCCTTGAGCTATCATGGCCGACTTCAGGACTTGAGCTTGTCTGACTGCCAGGGAATACTGTTCAGACATAAAAAGGCTTTCCTAAATCTTGTTCATAAATTAAACGTACAAAAAATATACATATATCATATAAATTGTTACATACACACATAGATATACATATATATACACCCACTGTACTTTATACATGTGTGTATATATATGCATATATGTGTGTGTATAAGCTAATTCTAAATTCACATTTCCATGTCACCTGGAAGGAAGCATGCAAGAAGGGCATAGGCAGGGGGAGACGCTGAGCAAGGTTCTTCTGGTAAAGCTCTGTCTAGAACAAACCTGCCTTCATCACCGTTCCCCAGAGAGCTGAAGAAAGTGGAAGTGCTCTTAGCCCCCATTCCCTCTATACAGCAGTTTTCGGGGAGACCCACGGAGCAGCTTCCTCTATTCCACCCTTCAGGCCACATGTCTAGCTGAAACCTGAGGAATCATCAGGCTAGAGCTGGAGGAGGAAAGGGAAACACAAAAACAAAGCCAAAACCCACTGTCATACAGCCTGACAGAAAAGTACTTCACAGGTCAGCAACAGCACTTACGAATCACCACAGAGGGGACCCTTGTTTGCCCTGTGGTCAAAACAAGGAATCCATGTCCCACCTCTCCACTCCCTCTATGAGTCTCTCAGTCCCCTGTCATCATCACCTCTGGTTCTTTCTAAGGTCCCCTCCTTGTCCAACTGCGAAATTACAGCCAGGCTGCCATCATCCAGTTTATCCCAAAGGTGTGATAATCTTGCAAATAGTCTGTTTGTATCTCACCCCATAAAAATCACCTAACTGTGTCTATAGGGAAGGGATTTGATCTCTTGAAACATCTGGATTTCATCAGGGACTCCTGGACAATCTCACCTTGTGAGGAAAATCAACAAATTTCAGCCGAGCAAGAAATCGTCTCACTTCCCCACGGCTGATCTTGGGAGTGGTGTTGTCCTTTAACCACATCATTCGGCCTTGAGTCATCATGGCCCACTTCAGGCCTAGCTTGCTAACTGAGAAAAATCCTGGCTGTTTTTCAGAGGTTGCAGTTGTTGTCACAGTGATGTAAAATGCATCCTTCTGGAGATCATTAATTCCAACTGGTCCATCAGAAAAGGGAGAGAGAATATTGGTGAGGAGCGATTTTTTTTCTTTTTTCTAAAATAAATCTCAGTCAATACTCAGTCAAAACACCCACTAGACTGAGGGTGAATTCAGTCTGATTCTCCAGTTGCATGTACCTTCATTCATCAGGGAAAATGGTTTTAAGGCTTTTATTGATTTATTTATTTTCAATTGAAATAAACTGAAATGTAGCTCTGCTTCTAGATGACATTTTTGATTCTCAGATAGCAGATATATATATATAAGGCAAACCATGGACAAATCGGTATACCTCAACCACAGCAAAATGATCCGTACAGACCTCAAAGCACATTTTCTAATAAATGATCTTCTATTTGCTCTTGACTGAACTGTGTTTTTGATACAATTTTGATTAGATGTGTCACAGTCTGGCAGCATATCCCTGTCTCCTGGCCTGCTGGACTCAGTGCTAGATGAACTGATCTTTTATCTCACATCCTGCCAAATCAAATGTTGGCTCAAATGCTTTAGAGGAAGTGCAGAAGTCCAGCCAGGACTACACAATTTTGTATAGGTGTTAAGGACAGATCTAGCTTTTCCTAAAAATATATGTCTTTAAATATTTTGGACCTTCTTTCAAAAAGGGACAGGAAGAAGCAACACAGCTTCTGTCCTAGAGAGCAGAAAGGGATGACCAACAAAGGCAGAAGTGTGAGATGAATGAGAAGAGCTTAAAAGTGATTCTTCATGTGCTGCATTAAATCATAGATACTGCCACGGAAAATAAGGGAAATTCTGTGGTGTCAAACTTGCATGAGATCAAGCTCACACCTTTCTGTGTTTAAGCACATGCAAGAAATTTGACAAATCTTCCATTTGCCTTGGAATTGGACAATTCAGGAGGAAGAAAAATCTGATTTCCTATTGCTGGCCTACACTTGGTGGACCTCAGGTGCTACACCTTTGCAGGCACAGCTAGACCCCACCTCCATTTATACTCACCTGCTGATGCAATGACTTTGTCTGTTGCATTTGTGAGGTCCAATAGGACAGTAGGAAAGACAGGATGGAGGAAATAGAGGTGGTGCAACCCTGGGCGCTCGGTTCTGGGACCGGGTTGCTGTTGGAATGAACAAGGAACAGGAGTTAGAATTGGCTATTAAACAGATTTCCAGTCTGCCACAGGAATAAAATAGCTTCCTGACATTGTGTCACTCTAACATGGATCAGCCAATCAAAAGATCAACAGTTTTACAGACCTCAAATCACACAAACTTTTCTTTCTGAAACAGAGAGACTGTTCCCAGTCTCTTCCTGACAAGGCTGCGATCTGGCTCTGTGAAAGCCAGCTTGATGGGCCAAGCTAGAGTCTTGGAGTTAGTGTCTCCACAGTGACTTGTGTGCCTGCGTTCTGAGAACAATGAACCCTGGGGCTAAGAACAAATTTACAAAAGGAAAATTTCAGCGTTCCATAAAAAAGCAACAAACAAACAAACAAAACCCTCCTGAAACTCCTGTAAAATTTTTGATTTTATGGAATTAAACTCTCTGGCAATAGAGTTTTCTGGGGGAGAACTCAGATACAAACCCAAATGTGCAGACTCAGAGAGGTCAGAGTGTCACAGCAAGAGGCCTGACAGTCTCTCGTAAGGCAGGTTTCAAGTTCAGAATGTTAAAAGACAGAGATAGCATGTGCCTCACAGAGAAACCTCGAAGTGAAGGAGGTAATTTGCTCACCAAAGTTTGTAACACAGATTGTCCTTCATCAGCCCAGAAAAGAAAGACAGATTTCTTGTCCAAAGTCATCACTGTCAGTGCATCGAGATCTTGCTTCTGCCATGGGAATTCTTGATTCCAAACAGGAAAGCCTGATTTGCCATCTACCACCACCACCTCAAAGCAGGGAAGAGACATAGCATTAACAGGAGTTTAAGTGTGGATGCACAGAGAGCCCCCTTGCCCTGGCACTGTCTGGCCACTTGTCTTGCCTGTGGACACACGGTGACTGGTATCAGCCACAGAAACAGGAATACAGCAGTGACTGCCCATTCAACCCAACCTCCCTCACTCCTATACCACACAGATCTTCTCTTCTTGCTTTACCTTTTTCTTCCCATCTCCAGTCTGTGCTTGTAGCATGAAGTCCAGGGTTTGGTCAGCACCAAAGTAACCAGGGACAGGCTGGCTGCAAATTTGGACAGAGAAACACTCAGCCCCATGCAGAAAAGCAAGGATTTCAGATTGAGAAATCTTCCTCTCACCTTCCATTCTGCCTCTTACAAAGTCAATAATTGCCATACTAAGTAAGATCTTTTATCCACCAATAACTGTTGTTACTGGAAGGAGCCATTTGCTGGTGGTCAGAGAAGTGACAAACGATCAAGCAGCCCATGGTGCTTGTTAGCCATTCTTGAGAGTTCTCTGTGGGGCAGGCATCCCTTGCTGCATTGGGTAGACATCTCTTTATTATTGTGTAACATGGCTCTGTGCTATTCTTTCCATAGCATAAGAATCTGTGGACAGATTGTCCATTGCTTGGACATTGCTTGTGTCCATTGCTATGGACATAAAAAAAAAATACCCAGCACTTCAAAATTCATCAGCAAATTTTATCTCCTGCTGGAATTGTATTTCCAGGGCTGCCTTAGGTGTGTGATGTGGCTCTTAATACACCCAGTACTGTTGTCAGCTTCTGATTCTTTGTTTTCTTATTGTTGGTGGTTGTACGAGCCTTTTTATAACCATAAATAGTTTTAATCAAGTCCCCTCTTATTCTTCCCCTTCTGGGTCACATACTCTCTTTATAACTGTTTTCTAACCAACTTGCTTGCCTTTGACTTTCTGAATCTCATCTCTGTCTTCCTCAAGTTCACCACAGCTGGACATAAGGTTCTAAATAAGCACAGATGTTTCTTCAAAGTTCACAGAATCAGAAACTTTAGGCCAAGTTGAGATCATCAGACCATGTCTCTTGCTTATGACAGACTGGTGTATTTCACCAATTAATCAAGTGTCAGTAGGCTGAGTGTGACTAGATCTATCATGCAGAAGGAATGAATCTTGCTGTGGAAATACAAAGATGACATGAATTAATCACTTCTCCTGACAATCAGTTCTAGTGACTAACTTCAGCCACAGAAACATGGCTGCCTTTCTTGAACATGGACGGATTTCACTCAAAGGCAGTTGTTCTTGCTATGGCAAGATTAAAATGCCTGGTAGCTTCCATTACGGACACATGCTTATGAGCTCACCTCTCGGGCTTCTCTTTGATCATCTAAACCCAATGACTTAAATCTCCCATGGTTTTTCTTGCAATTTTTCCAACCCAGAATGACTCCAGAACAGCAAAGCTGTAGTACGGTATTGACTTGACTATTTAGTGCATTAAACAATGCTATTTGCGTTATAGATCCTTTCAGCAACCAGTATCAATGCTTTCAAGGCAATATCATGATATGCTCCCATAGCTTGCAAGTGTATCACTAGTAAAAGGAAGTGGATAGCTCTGTATTATGGATACTAATTTAAACACCCTTCTTAAGGTATCCCTTCTCAAGGGATAGATTCCTGAGTGGTTACAATCAGTGGCAGATCCCACAAGCTGAATGCAGAAAAGCACGTGTACTGCAGCTGACCTCCCCTATGCACTTTCTCAAATGAACCAGAAAGCTAATAACACTTCCTGGCCGACTGTAATCCCCGCAGTAACAATCTGCCATTAATCCTCTCTCATTCCGAAACATCCATTAACAACACAATTTTCAACTGCTTACCCAATTTCATGGTCTCTGAACTTTGCCCTTGCTTTGTGACTACTGACTCTCCTTTATGATCTTTCAGGGATCTTGTCAAAGCTATCTGGAAATGCAGCACACCTGCAACAGTCAGGTTGTTTTTACTGGAGACTGTTCCCAGGCCTCTGCCTGGCTGGATCAACATAGTTTGGCACAGGTTTACCCAGGGAAGAAGGAAGCTCTCAGCTGGCTCTGTAAGTTCTGTCTGATGATGACTTTGGTTTGGGTCTCTTGAATAGGAAGGAGCTGTGCCAGTGCTTGAACTCCCTTGGAAGTGCTGGGGTCTTGGTCTGATTCCACTCTCTGGGGTATGACTGGAAACCAAACATATGTCCTAGTGTAAACAAGTTGAGCACTAAAGTCTGCTGTGTGCATGACAAAACCACCCTGCTTGGAAATCAGGGGGAATCAGCTGCCTTTCCAGAAACTACAGACTAGCTCTTTCCCCCATGCATGTGTGCAGACATGATTCACAAGTGGCCTGAATAGGGCCAGGCCTGTGAAGAAAAGGCTTCAACTCCATCTCCAATGCCAGCTCACACTCCACATTCTGCAGCCTAGCTCACTTCCCTTTCGCATCCGAAATGCCACATTGGTGACTTGAAAATGCCTCTGGCATGTTTGTCCCTCTGGAGAAATTGCAGAGACCAATTCTGTAAGACACTCTCAAGTCTCCATGTTGTCGTCTGACTCTCTGGTGACAATTCTGAGCTGAATTTGTCCCCCAGTGTGTGTTACTAAGCAGAACTTCTAAAATCCTAAAAGAAGTCTACCAGGCTTTGTCCCTCTTAACTCAGGAAAAAATATACAGTAGAGGACTTTAGTGCAGTGGCCTTGAACAGGATTTTTTCAATTACTTTTCAACCCCTGTCTGGCACCTCCTGTATATTGTGGTATTCTGTCCCTTGGGAGGTCATGGAATCAGAGAAAACGTGGCTGGCACGCAGGAACCTGGAATACAGGTTGCCCAGAGAGGCTGTAGAGTCTCTATCCTTGGAGACAATAAAAATCTAGGACTAGATATGGTCCTGGGAAAACCGTCCTAGTTGACCCTGCCTTGAACATGAGGATGGTACATGATGATCTCCAGAAGTACCTTCCAATACCTGTGATTCCTTGAATGTAACAGGAAAAAGAGTTTTCAACCCTTCTTGATTTGAAACCCTAGAAATTTTCCAGTTAATTAGTGGCCCCCTTTAAAAAGTTCATGCATAAAACTCTTTTTACAGAATGTATGTACGGGCTTTGATCAGTCAGCACACACTTACACTCTAAAGTATAAAGAGTGACCTCAGACACTCCAGAGGCCTGTAGATTCTGGGCCAAAAACATTTTTAGTCCATCTCCTTGACTTCATACTAAAATCAGCTAGCTACTACTCATTCCTAAGAGCACTATTCATGTCCCTCACCCCCTTAAGCGGGGACTCTAATAGGGCAGACATCTATTTAAGTATCAGATGTAACCTGACAACGTTTTCTTTTGTCTAATAACAATCCCGTATCTTCTTCCTCTTGATGTTTTTGCCAGTTAGGTAACACTGAGCTAAGAGCTGTTTTCTCTATTGTAGACAGCACATTATTTCCCTCTATTGTTCCCAAATACTGGGCAAGGTATATCAGCCCATAAGACCTAGCAAATTACTTAATTTCCATGTGCAAAATCAGAAACTAACGGCAGGACCAGGCAATAAATATGCAGTAAAGGCCTGCATCTAGCATATAGACTATGTGCTGACTGCCATCAGAGTGCTGACTTTCAGCTTTCCAGGAACATTAAGATTTGTGGCCCAGACTTGGACACCTGCTCTAAACACTTAACGTTGTTAATGCAACTGCTTCTCTCCTGGCAATTGGCAGCCATGGACAGCAGATGGACTGAATCATTTACCAACAGTCTCTTGAAATCAGAGCTTCAGTAGACATGACATTAACATTGGGTGTCTGAACAGAGTCCCCTATTTTTGGTAACACACAAGCCCACAATTTAGAAGGTTTCCAGCTATTTGTTCCTTACTCGCTCTCCCCCTTGCCCTCATTGCTAACACAGCAACACACCTGCACACCTCCAGTTCTTAGAATTCTCTGCAGTCTTGGGAGAATTCTTCTGGATTGCTTTCTAACGAGCACATGTTTAACAGTGAAAGACAGAAAACAGAGACATGGAAAGAAATAGGAAAGAAAGAAGTCCCCGATGTGTAACCTGCTAATGTTCTGCATTTCCAGGAGCCAGTGGGGCTTCAAGTCCTGTCCCCGCAGCAGGATCAGGGCACTTTTGGTGGTGATAAGCAGATTACTGCAATTTGTGTCAGGTGCCTTCATCGTCTGCAGGAAGTCAACACCTCCACTGCTGGAAAAGGAAAAGAAAGAGGAGACACCTGTACTTATATTTGCATATGTCATCACTAGCTGCCTTTCCACAGGGCAATTCATCCTCCCTAAGATTCGAGTCATTCTTGGAGACATCTTTCCCCAGTGAGAGAGCTGAGCTTCCTAAAGTGTGTTACTCAGTTAAGTCGGTTAAATCCAGGCCTGTTTTTTTTTCTGAAAATGTGAGTTACTGTAAAAAGCATGGAATTTGGGAGTTCATGTTTGCTTTTTTTTACTCTTACCCAAGCTGACATTCATAACTTGGCAGTAAAGGAGAAGGGCCTGGGAAATCCAGGCCCACAATGCTGTATACAAGCTAAACTTCCAAAACGGACTCCATTAGCTGGGAACACCGTGCTTTTTTTTTTTTTTCTCCTTTCTCTTCCAAGTATGCATATGGGATATAAGAAAAGAACAAGGAGCTGGAGAGGCAACGAGAATGGCAATATTAAAGTAGGAGGGGCCATCTCTAGGAGTACTAGGAGGTGCCCACTCTCCCTTTCCTCCCTTGGCAGAAGCAGGATGATGAGTTCCTCTCCTACCTGTAAATGTCAATGAGCTCTGACAGGTTGACAGATCTGCGCTTTTCCCATTCTGGCTCCTCCTGCTGCAGCATTGCAGGGAAGCTGTCCCGGTTTCTGGCTTGGGTAAAGATATCCCTCAGAGCAACTGCTTGAACGTTACCTGTCAGGAAGAGTAAAGATGAAGTCTTGCTCTCAGGGGTGAATGCTCCAATAGCACAAACAGTCCTTGGGACCACTGAGGTTACAGCCAAGGACAAAGTAAAATCCAGAGGTGGAACTTCCCTGGCATGATGTGCCATGGGCAAAGCTGTCTTTGGGAAACTCCAAAGTATTTCTGGCTAGCTCACACTGGTACTGCTGTATCCTCCCACAGCACAGCAGTGAGACTGTTT